CGAGCATACAGCACACGTACACACGAGCATACAGCACACATACACACGAGCATACAGCACACGTACACACGAGCATACAGCACACATACAAACACACGCGTGCACGCATGCACGCACACACATGCGTATACACTCACGAACACGAAACTCATGCACAAACACATACATATATATATATATATATATATATATATATATACTTACATGGTTAAACCTTCTGGTCATTAGCACAATATTTGGTGTTTTGATATGCTTCTCCTTCGTGTTCCATGCACAGCTTGTCAATTCCTACAACCAGAAACCGCACTTACAGTTACCTAAATCACTATTGTCACATGCAAAAAATCGACAGCAATAATTTTCTCTGAACAATGAAAACAAATGTGCGATTTCAAATGGAATGGTACCTTCTTACACGGAATACTTAAAATACTGACATCCCGTTATTTTACACTGGTCGCGCAAAAACCCTTGTTTATATGACACTTTCAAAATCTTACGACCAATTTTCCCAGCTTTAAAAATTCATCACGACTTTTTCTTATCTATTTTATTAAAAATTTACAGCATTATTATAAATAACTGTCAACACACATGCACGTCAGTCATGAATAAATGAGCAGCCAAGTATTATTTGTCATTCTACTTCTCAGCATAATTTATCAAGGAATACATTTGTGTTCTGCCCAACCCTTTCAGCACAAATGACGTTTGGCCTAAGGCAACCTTGTGTTACTTGTATGATGTCACATTGTAAGGTCACGTCATATTACTTACTACTAATAGGGCGAAATAACTTAATAATTTAACCGCCGTGTTTATCCTACAGTCACCGTCTTACCTCAGGCTTGATATCTTGGAAAATTGGAAGGTCTAATAACGTTATCTGACTCTGCAAGAGAGGCATCAACACTTATATTATGTTTGCATACATACAGCACAGATGTTTATGGTGTTAGTACCTTAGAGTTAGGGGTATGTTAGAACAACCGGGTTGGCCTATTTGAGATTGTGAAGATAGCATAGACATGAACCATAATTTCTATATATGCCCCTTATTAAATACACTTCTTTATCTATGACGTTTTCTACTTTCTCGTACAACGTACAAACAACTGTGACAATTACATTACTGAGTTTTCGTGCGCTAAACGCACTAAACACCAGTCTACGAAAAAAGAAATAATACAGAATTGACCTATCAGCACAGAGTGATTGACAGGCAAAACCAGCCAATCAGCTTTGCGGCTACCAACCAGGTGATCCTCGCAGGGTTTCTAGCATCTACTCACAGCAAAATCTTCCGGAGCGACCTTGAGAACGTCAAACACAACGGCGTCGTAGCTTTTGGCCGCCGTCCTGCTGCTAGGAGCGACGGTGCTGCTGCCACTGGACCATCGAGTGTCCAACGCCCGGTCCAGCGTGTCACTCGACCGTGACACCTGCATGAACTGTCACATATGCACACGTTAGCATATCTGTCACATGAAGTATGTGACACACATGCCCACAGACACGCATGTATGTACGGACAGACATACACACACACGCACGCAGACATGCACGCACGCACACACAGTAGCAGAGAAATCACGGTTTGCCCCACTTACGCATAAGAGTAAGAAGAGTTTGTTATGCTTGCTTTCTACCAGCGGTTCTATACAGAAGATACACAGCGAGCAGCTGAAGGGTTTACAACACAGACGCATGTAATTGACTGCCCAATGCAGATGTATGTGTGCTTCGTGGGCGTGTAATAAATTGATTGCACAGATGCAAACACTAAAAGTACAACTCCCAAAAACATCGAGAGAAAAACTCCACGACGGAGAACGCCAACCACTGACTAGAATAAAACGAGGGTAATATATATGGTTGAGTGAACGACCTAGTAGAGTTACAGCCTTAAAAATCCATTCTCATACATAGCACAGTCAACCCTGTGTTAGCGGATGTCTATAGAATGGACACCTGTCTAGAAAAACCTCACTTGGGGGTTCCTGAAGTTGCAGCTATATGGTGAACCCACCTCTATAGGACGTCTGCCTACTTTTTGAAGGTTTTCCGCGAGTGCAAAAACCACTACGAACAGGTTTGATGGTACATTAATTCAGGAGCAGGAAACGTAGTGATACGTGAAAGGGAGACGCTCGTGATTGATGCTACCTCTGTGTAGCCTGCAGACTTGGGAGCGAGACCCATGAGCCGGCCCTCCGGCTTCGGTGACGACTGATGCTCCCGCGCGTCTCTGTCGCTGTCCGAGAAGCTGGGATTGTCCATGAAGCCATCCCCATGGAGGAGGTACCGCGCCCGCCTACTCATGTCCAACATCCACTTGAACTGTAATAGCAGCAACACGACATACTGATAATATCTCCACGCTTGCATATCGTTTGTTGTGATGCAACATGTTTCGTTGCATCAACACACGTTTCGATACAACAGAAATGCGGGGCAAGGAATATCTCCCCGCTTGCGATATAGGTATTACTAAAACAGAAGCGTGACACTGGGTTTCACTAGGTCTGACATCTACCCAGTCACACACTAGCAAGGGCATCAGATATTGCCATAGGTCTGACAACTAAACAGTCTCAGCAAGGGCATCAGATATTACCATCATGACAGGTCTGACATCTACTCAGTCACACACTAGCAAGTACATCAGATACGGTCATAGGTCTGACATTTTAACAGTCTCACATACCAAGGGTATCAGATACTGCCATATGTCTGACAATTACGCATTCTCACACAGCATGGGGTTTGTTAGCAGGAAGCTATTGGCAGTAGTTTGACTTCTACGCAGTGCCACACAACGAACCGATTTCAACCCATGTGTTTATTTAAACGTACACTAAGATAACTGCCAACGTTGAAGTTTTAATTTTAACTCTTCTTTTGGGAATGTGAGTGACTGAGTGACATCTGGTATAAAGTAGCACCTGACAGGCTAGCCACCCACGTACACTCACATGACAGATAGCAACAGCCCTTAGGAACATTGTATATCCGTATTGTCCCTAGAGGGCTATAAGGTGATGCTCTCCTAATTGTATATATATACTGAAGGCTGTTTTTCAAGACTCCTGCAGCTCTTTTCTATCTCCCCACGTGTGAGGCACTCCCTCCATTACCATCAACTTGTGAACAAGCATCAGCGCCTAAGGTTTTGTTTCCAATGACTAAATAAACTCTGAGTGATGTGAGGAGGGGTTAGTTAGCATTGGCTATTATGTGCTTGTGTAAGCCAGTCTTTAGTTTACTTCTCTCTATCCATGTACTCAGCAGCGCTAGCTCTGCCACGCTGCCCAATGGACAACATTGATGTAACTATACACCAACGTCTCTACCTCTCAACGCATAAGTAGTTCACATGTAGAAACTTCCCTCACGCCCGCTGATGTAGAGGCAGCTGGTCACGATAGGGGGTGGGGCGGACTGTATATAATGTAGTAAAGAACTCGGCTTACAGACATGTAGAGCGTATGGGGCACGTAGCGTGAATGTATCACGTCTGTCTCATTTCTCTCCCGAGTTTCATCCGTCCGTGAGATACGACAGCATCCCAGAATGAGCTCCAAGATCCTCGTCATCATCATCACCAACGCATCACATGACTGCACTGTACCCGCTATTCACCCTATAACTAATTGAGTTATCAGACGGCTACCGGTGTTACCCCTCCCCCCTCACTGCCGCCCGAGCAGAGCCAGCTAGCTGCCGCGAAAATCTTTCATAAAGCATCGTATAGCAACATACGCTATATATCGAATACCACACCCGTTTGCTCGCGTGAATCCGCTGCCAATGTGCGAAATAAATGTTCAATAGCAAAATAAACACCGCAGACTTTGATCTTAAGTGTTATAAAGCTAAGAATTTATATATATATGGTTTGCGTTATCGAGTAAATACGGGTGGAGTATGTGGCGCGTTGGGCCTTTATCGTAAACATGACTTTCAATGGCAAAACTATGTGCGTGTTGCCCACACATTCCGCCCTACGTCTACATGCATATACATCATGTATAACAAATAGCCTCCACGGGATTGCTGTACACGATGCAAGAATAGACCGTACGTGGGCTGATATGTGTGTGTACATGTTGATACGAGAAGCGGCTTACAACTCCATATGTTCACTGTGCAAATGTAATAGATTCCTCCACATCTTGAATCGTAGCATCAGCTGGTGTGTGGGGGAAAATGAGGCTACTGTATACACCAACCACATACATAGAGAGACAGACAGACACACACAGTGACACACACATGTAAATTGACTCCGAGAGTAATCGGCTGCTTGCACATGTAAGTGAGAACTCGAACATTACGATGCGTTATTGATCGACTGTTATTGGTGAAAGTGTCGGCCACATGCATTAATCCCCTCCTACTACATCACTGTAAACCAGCCCGCCAGTTTCATCGCTGTTTTCTCCATGTGCGAGCGAAAAAAGCGAGTAATTAGAATGGGTATACGCCCTTACTACAGTGATACCCAGCGCTGAGAAAGTAACGCGCCCGAGAAAAAAATTCGCAACGCAAAATTCGGTAACGTGAATAACATTTTCTCGCCGACTTGCATTACATAGTTGGAGATGCGTTCCTACGGAAAGTTTTTCTGGCATAAGAAGTGGGTAATCCCCTGAATTCACCTGATACAAGCACACATATGAATGCAAGTAAACATATGACAAACACACCACGCACAGGCATGCACGCACAAACACGCACGCACGCACGCACATGATCAACTAATGACGTGACACAAGAAAACTAGTTCAGAATAGGAATTATGACCCTGTACCTAGAGTACGCTAGACATGGGTCACTGATTGTGACTGCCAGTTATCCCTGCACAGTGCGCGCGTAGGTGTTTCCTGTAGAAGACGGAAAGATGTCTCACCCGTGTAATGACGTAGATATCTAATTATTTAACCTAGTATAAAACATAGCAACACGGGCCGCGCGAAAGCTGGCCCGCCGAAATTGCTGGCAGCTGAATGCATATTTATTACATGAATTTTATTGACGGCTATTGAGCACGCCAAATTTTTGGAAAGAAACCCCCTATTCAGTCTCTAGGAAATTTGAAAAGGGAGAATTTTCGTTTTGTATGAATGAGTTTAGTGGTCATAATTTTCAAATTACGTATGGGCGAATTAACATGTTCTCAAACAACCTCACGTAACGACGAAGTATATAACGCGCGTATTATAATATTTTGCACACACGCACACTCGCACGCACATGCACAAGCACACACAAGCACACACATACGAACATACGAAACGGCTGACATACGAATGCGCGCGCGCACGCACGAAAACAAACACCGCGCGTGCATGCACGCAAGAAAGCACGCGCGCGCACACACACACACACGCACCCGCACACACACACACGCACCCACACAGCGCGCTAACACACAACTATGCGCTAATCTACGTCTTAAAAAGTAAATCTAATTAACCGTAAGGGAAGAGGAGCGGCGGCGTTCTTGCAGTCGTGTTAAGAAGGTACCAGAAGTAGATAATAGGGAATTCCCTATTATCTACTCCTGGTAGGTATGTAGGCCTACCTACATTCTGTGTTCGCGGGCGCATAGTGAAGGCCAACGATCCAGCACGCTGTACATACCGTAGCGTCGACACACGGGAGCGCAGTATTAGTATACCTGAGCGGCAGAGCTGGTCGTGGCGGCGGCGGCGGCAGCGGCCCGCGGTAAGGTAGCATACTTTACAGCTACGGGCGGCCGCGCTCTGTATCCCTTCATCTCGCTCTCTCTCACACACGTGTGAATCCAACAGCACGTTACGACGTAGCACTGTCCACCTACTCCCGTTATAACGTGACTAGACGCCCAGTAATGTCCTAAACCCACGCTAACACCCTAACCACGGGCGGAGCAATAACAGCAGCGGCAGCAGCAACAACACAGGTGCAAAACACAGGCCGGCGACAGCAGCAGCGGGAGCGCCAGCAGCAGCAGCGACGTACGTGGGTGCACGACGCACGGCGTCAGGGGCAGCAGTAACAGCCGAGTTCACACACAAACACACCCACCCGGGCTGCGCCTGCCTGAGTCAGCCAGCCAGCTGCAGTTAGAGTGCTGAGGTTTCTGTTTCACTCACGGTGAGGGGGTTTGACGGGAGCTTAGGCGCTATGGCCTGCACACACACCCACACCCACACCCACGCCCGCACATACCGTGTCACATCGTGCCCGAGGGCACGTGTTGATGGCATACTTTACACACAGACCTAACACAAGTACATACAATTACAAGTTATAATAAATCATTTCACTTGTTTCATTATATTACTCTATTCTATAATCATCACATTATCTACTAAATGATTAATTCAGGTGTATATTATTAAATTGTTTCATATATCATTTATATTTCATCGAATATAGCAAATGGGATCCATAAAAGAAAAAGTTTTGCAACAAAAATGCCTGCCTAGTGCCTATAGGTTTGACATCAATTTCTGTTCAATTAATTTTTCAACTGCATTCTAAATTACCTGTTTAAATGTCAATTCTGACTTTGTTTAAATAGTTTTTAAACTGCATTCTGAATTCCCTGTTTACATATATGTCACTTCTGACTTTGACCTGTTGTCATACCTGCCTAGCAGTGTAAATGTGGTCAGGTACTCAGGGCAGGTAGTGAACGACCTTGTTTGCGTAAACGTCTGCGTTTACCTAACACGGTTAACCGAGATTTCAAATATGTCAAAACAACATCGTTGATCAACGTAGTAGCTATAGACCAAAGTAAGGGGAATGGAAACAGCAAGAAAAAGCAGGGTAAAGTGACAATGTGGCAACGCACATGAAGAGAGCTCTGCATGCAACCTTGTTCACAACAGAATTAGGAAAGGATAATGGCGAAAATAAGAGAAGAGGTGAGGAAAGCTACCAGTAAGTCTTGTTCTGTTCCGCGTTCGTATTCTTGTTCTATGTAGTCACACATACTAGGCACGCGTTAGCTAAGTCTTACTTCTTTGTTCGTGACGCATAGCATCGTTCTGTATTTTATATTAAACATGTACGGTGTTTGGGGCAGACTGCACGTCAGGTTTGAGTACATATCTGGTTATACTGTACTAAAGTAATTTCAGTTGCGTTTTAAAATAATACGCTCCTAGAATTCAAAGGAAAAGGAGAAAGTGATAGAAACCTCACAGAGAAAACAAAATATAACTTACGTTCAAGGCAGAATTCAATTCCAGCGCAACCCGCCCAGCACATGTTATGGCAAATTGTACTAACCGACAGATGCAACGCTTCAAGTTCTTCCTAGTTAAAATTCAACACGAGCTCTCTCTGCAGTGTTGAATTCTTGTTGTACCGATCACAGTGTAGATATGAATTTATCCAGCCAACGCCAAAGTTGCTCCTCGTTGAAATTATTAAATAGCGTTGTAAAATAGCATGTGAAATATATTTGAAAAAAAAACGCGAGAACGCAACCAACACATGTACAGTGACGTGAAAGTATCCCTCGTCATCACTACGTTACATGTCAAACTCTATAGAATTGATGAGATTATGTATTGCCATTCTTTCATTTAAATATAAAACAACGGACAGCATCACACGAGGCAGACAGACAGAAGCCTCGAGGCCGATTACTAGCAGCTTTCTATAACCGTCCGCACGAGAATTATCCGACAGTTAAATCCGTTGGGGGTAAAACAGCTTAACTAACGTGTGGGCAGTCATACTCACCCCAACCTCCCCATCCCAATCCTTTTCGCCCCGTCATCCCCTGGCCTTTTTATTTTCTCAGCACCCTCACCCTTCCAGCATCACCATATTCCCAGCATCCTTACCCTTCCAGCATCACCATCTTCCCATCTTCCCCACTTTCCTAAGATCCTCATCTTCCCAGTATCCTCCCCCTCCCAGCATCATCACATTCCTAGCATCCTAATCCCCCAGGCTCCTAATTTCCTGGCTTCCTCTACCTCACAGCCTCGATCCTCATCCATCCAGCATCATCATGCCCCAGCTTTCTCATCCCCTCGTCCCCAGCCTCCCCACGCCTTCTCTAATCTCGGTGTCAGACTCACATACACAGCTAGATGGATCCAGCTCGCACTAACGACAGTCGTGCTGAGAGCAGCCAGCAGTAACAACACTTACGCTGAACACGAGCCGCGGCAGTAGGAGGGAGAGAAAGTCAGCGGCGCTGCTACAGCTGAGCAGATGAGAGTCCTGCATGTCGAGCCGTCGGTACGGATGCCGTCGCAGTGCCGCCATCATCAGCGACTGCACACGACAGTGACAGCTGCTGCCGTTACACGTCCCCCAGCACTCCATGCTACCCGAAACTCACAGCAAGGACAGCTACACAGATAGCAGCAACTCCTAGCTATACTCTCACAGCAGGGATAACTCCCGTGCACCCTCACACTAGGCGCAGCTATGCAGATCATGACATGCCGAATTCGATGTCTCTTCAAACTTGAGTCTCTACTAGAACGTACATGACACTTTAAATAGTATTCCAGCCGTCTTTCACTGCGGCTATTTTACAATCCGAGAGATTGCAGCACTGCTAACCTACAAGCCAATCTATGGAAACACTGAGAAACGCAATGTCATTGACCACGTGATGAATCTAACACAATGACAAACTGTGCCTCCTAGCACTTGTCGTTTAACAACTTCCGAGTAAACTCGTGAACATGCGTGAAGATCGTTAAATCCACGATGAGCAACCGGGACCTTATGCCAGTGAACACAGTCCACGTCATGAAACAAACTAACAATGCCACATCTTGCAATGCAAGTGCATGTATTACATTTACGAACCACAAGAAATTACTAGGTTAACTGCATGCAATCTGATCTACCGCCAAGTGCACAGAGCGAACTTGTATGCATTAATGTCATACCTTCACATCACATGAAACATCTATACCTTAGAGTTCTTACCAACGCCTGAGGCTGTATTGCTACAACATATTATAGGTGTGTAAACGATTATATCCATGCTTCACAATCTGATCTGCTACTTTAGGGTTCCATCTTAAAAGTAGCAAATCATATTCTGGAAGCGATATGATCGTGAATACACCTGAGCTGTAGAGGTATGGCCTCAGGCATGTGTGGGGACTATATACGAAAATGTGGAGCAGACAAAAGTACATGACATCAATCCATGGAAATTGTTGCTCTGACAATGATCAGCAGTACTTACCATAAATTTTATGGCTTGAAATGAGTCTTCTTGAAGTTACATTTACGCTTGACCACGTTTGTCATTTACAAGGATAAATACAGATAAAAGCTTATGCCACATTTACTGCATGTGATATATATATAGTAATGTTTACCTTTTTTGTCACCAGGATGCTGATACTGTAGAATTTACTAGTCTAAATTCCCCTCCCTATGCCCAAAATATGAAACGTTCTTCATTTTCAGTCACTAATATCTCGTAACTCGGCCTCATATATCATATGCACGCCTTTTCACCATTAAACTTTCAAGCCTCTTTTAAAAATCTATTGTGCCTCATGAATAAAGCCCTGTCTACTGGCTAGTAACACAGGTATAAATATTGGTGAATTGAGAACACCTGATTTAAAATTTCCCATAAAAAACAAGTATGATTATCTTCTAAAGGCCACACATCATATTCCACACACATAAAGATATGTGCATTACTTAGCATCATTTTGATTAGGTTGGCAATTTTCAGGACACACTTTAGTGACATTAAATGGAGGATTAACCAACTATATATTATATATTGTTAGGAAAACCCCAGATATTTTTGACACACTTGTCACAATTGTGTTGGCTATTAGCAAATCTGGTACTTTATAATGCTTGCAGCCACAACCGGAGTACACCGAGCTGAAGCACTAGGCTAAATTAACATTTGTCCACTTTACTGTAAATAAACAGTGCTGCCACCTGTTTATTACAGTTTCCATGAAAAAACAATTCTCACAATGTCTTTTATTTTACATCTAATATATAGGGTAATATTGTAAGTAGTCATCAATTTACTTGAAAACAACTTGCATTCTTTTAATTAAATTGCAGGAAACTGTGCAATTACAGCTTTAATAAGCCATACAACAGAAGGAGGGCAACACAGCAGATGCAAATGCTTGACACTGCCACCGAGGTCCGACTAAATGAATGATGATCAGACCATAAAACCGTTAGTAAGAAAGCTAATAACAGGATATTAATACTATTATACTAGTTTGTGAATGCAAGTAATCATGTGTATACAAGCAATAAGAGATCATGTATTGTCTCCATACTAATTTTTTTCAATCTCTGAATGCAATACCAATCATGAATGCAAACAATAATTGTCCACCTTAATCCTATTCCTATAGATACGTTTATGAAGAAACATGTGAATTCAGTTACAATAAACTAATTCTGACTAAAGCAATAACATTGGGCTGTTTCAAACAGCACACGTTGTATGTTTAATGTTAAATGTTCGAAATTCTCCACTCATTATTCTGGATTAGTAATCTCCAAGAGTAACTAATCAATACAGTTTTAAGCTGAGCGGTTAGTATTCAGAGATCATAATATAAAATGTCTTTATCTAAATAGTTTGAATGCTCAAATGGTACTGTTAATGCAGGTTGTATATATATGAACCTAATGCTATAACTTTAACAAATCTAAACGGTTACATGTTTACTCCTTTCACCTGCTAACTTATTTTGTCATATTAACCAAGTGTCTCTGTACACAGCCAGTCTCAACTTACAAACTGCATACATCAGAACACTTGTTAGCATACTACAGGGCGTATAGTGCACACTTTTTATTGAGAAAATCTTTCGTCGAATAAGCTGAAGTTCGGTGTAGCAAACCTGATTATATTTATAGCTAAGATTTTTAAGCTACAGTAGGATATATATATATATAATAATATTATACATCTTTGCCAGAATACACTACAGACTACAGTATGTATTAACCAATGCTCACAGTCAGGTGGGCTAATAGAACACAGAAATTTCAGGGGTAAAAAAACATTCTGCACAGGGCAGTCCTCGCCAAAAGCGTCGGACCGGTCCCACAAGAAATTTGGCTTTACCAGACCGTGTGTCAGGTAACATTACACCAACTAATTACCCAGAGGCTACGGGTACGCCAGTACCACACACTATGCCTAGCTCTAATATCCCTGCCTATGGCTGTCTTATATACGCGTGCACCAAATTAATCTATGGTGTGGGAAAGCGATAGGAAGAGATTGGCTGTTATTTATGATAAAAGATAAGAAAATGATGACATGCGACGTGTGTGTGAACTATCATGGGAAGTTTATATTACTATCACTGATTATACCTGGATCACACAACTGGACAAGGCCAAAGGCCTAGAAATAGGTGAAACCTACATTAATGACAAAGCTGGCAAGCAATGCATTGCTGATTGTACGCGTCACGAAATGGATGAAAAAATAAACGATGCTAGCTTTTTCAGCTTTATCATGGACGAGTCAACAGACATAGCTGGTGATGAACAGGAAAGCATATATATGTTAGATCTGTCCACAAAGGAAAAGCAACAGAGATGTGAATGTGTTTTAATGTTTCAATATTTTTTTGGTCCAGTAACATATCATTCGGTCTGGTAAAAATCTATTTTTTACTGGACCGAATGTCCAGTAAAGGATTTTGTCTTTTGGCGAGGACTGCAGGGTGGCATATAGAGTCAGACTCAGTATTATACTGCCACAGCACCCTAGGCTGATAGGGTCTATGTCTCCCTGGGTATTGCCGGAACGTACCCTTGGTACGGTCCGGTATATCGGAACGTACCCTGGTAACTATCTGATATGCCGGACCGTACCTCGCTTACTCCCCACCGTACCCTGACTGTCCCTGTTCCGTCCACTACTGATGTCGCAACATTTGAAATATACATACAAACTGCCAATCTTTATATCTTTATAAAGTTGGATTGGAGTATGTTAACTGTGAAACCAAGAAGAAATTTCAACCTATATAGACTGATGCGCGCAATCCTTTTGCAAATATCGCGATGATCGGGAATGCGTTTTCCTTTCGTAATGTTTACGACATTTTCGCGGATGCGTACACTGCGCATGCGAGATTTTTGAAAGATGGCGGCAAGTGTTGTGGAATGGGAAATGCACCACATGTATTGGAAACAAGCCTAGACTATTGCCGTAAAGCGGTAGGTACACTTCCTCCTGCCAACACTGGCAACAGTCGGTCGAAGGGGCTGAAACTGGGTACGGTTTGGAGTAGGCGAGGTACGGTCCAGCATATTAGATAGTCACCAGGGTACGTCCCGGCAGTACCCAGGGAGACATAGAGTCTAGACCCTATCAGCGCCACTGCACTGGTAAATGGTACTGGTAGTCTAGCTATTAAACGATCTTTGCGTTCAAGACCTGTCACCTAGCTCGAAGACAGCGAAAAAGTATTTCAAATTTTTATATTTATTAAGGTTCATTGATAATTTGGTTTCCACCCAACGAAAACATAACTTCATAACATAAGTCATAAGTAATAAGTAATAAGTATTACTATTTACAGAGTGGCTATATGCCCGGCAGTCGGCATATATCTGACGGCTGCCGGGCACGGTCTTCGATTTCCTAAATGCTCGGCAGTTTTTAATTTTTAGCGTTATCTCAAGTAAACAAGGGTTAGGGTTAGGATTAGGGTTAGGGTCAGGATTAGGGTTAGGGTTAGAATTAGGGTCAGAGTTAGGGTTAGGGTTAGGAACTGCAGCCCAAGGATAGAGAACATGGGTCCCAATAAAACCAATGTGCCTAAACCTAACCCTAACCCTAATTCTAACCCTAACTCTAACCCTAACCCTAATCCTAACCCTAACCATAACCCTAACCTATTATATTGATGTAATATTATATTTATATTGATGTAAATTACATTGGTTTTATCGGGACCCATGTTCTCTATCCTTGAACCGGAACTGCCGGGCATTTAGGAAATCGAAGACCGTGCCCGGCTGCCGGGCATATAGCCACAGCGTACTATTTAACTGTCAGAAGGCGTATTAATCGACTATCGACCATTTTTCAATATTGGACGATCGGCACACACCACCCACCATCAACTTCAACTTTCAAGCATTGCGAGTAGTTTGGGGAATTTTAATGCACCTTAAATAAGAAAAGCACAATTTGATAACAACACTACAGACAAGACGCAACGGCACTTACGTGACGAGGGCGGTTGACGCTGAAAACACGCGTAAATAATAAGAGATTCCCGTCAAAAAATTACGACCGGTTTGTGTGGTACGTCATGACAGTTGTGTAGGCCTACGTATGACGTCAGAACACAAGAAATTCTGCGTTGCGCGCGGGCGCTAATTTTAACCCACGCCCGTTTGCCGCGTTTGCGTATTGTATGCATAATGCATGTGGTGCCCATAG